AACTGCTGCAGAAATTCCAAAACATAACATAAAAAACCCTAACCCACCATAATCTCCCCCCTTAAAACAGTTCAAATCCCCTAATAAATGCCCCTTACATCTTTCCCAAAGAGTCCCCCTTTCTCAAAGAGTTACCTCCCAAAGCCTCTTCTCCTATAGGTGATAAATGAGGTCCTGGGCCCCACATGGGCATCAAGTTTGTTGTTTCCAGCTGCATCAGAATATAGCTCTCTCCTATGCCATGAATAGCCTACTACAAGAAACTGTCACGTCACAGGAACTTAACCGTATAGCAACCAAGAACATAATGCCCGTTATAGGAATGAGCAATCTAAACTCAACACTAGCAGGATAAATATTTTACACTTTTGTTAAGCATACATGTAGCAAGTGTACTTATCAAAGAGAACGAGATAGTAAAAATAAGGAAATTGTAATAGACTATAAATACTAAGCAAGTTAATATCAAGTGACTAGCATAAAAGTCATTCAGATCAACATAAACAATCAAAGCAATATTCATATATTTTTTTATCAAGAGTAGTACTTACTGAAAGAATAACCGTATTTTCAAATGTCAAGCAAGGAGCAAACCCTCCAAATCTGCCTCTAAAGGACACAACACCAGTCTTCTTTGATTAAGCAAAGGTTATTTCAAACAAAAGAAGCCATAACAACTTTTAAGAATGTTATGTTTAGAATATCAATTTCTTTACTCTTCTTTAGTTGTAATTTCATATATATTGATGCATCTTTTATTTGTATACCTATCCAAATCACTAAAGCGTATAGCTTCTATTGTTTCATTTCACTAAGTATTACTTCCATCAAAATCTCTTAATATATAAAATTATTTCTCATACTAACCATCTAGTTTTTGCACACATTAATCCTAAATCCTCACTTTCACCATACTTAACTTTACTGTCCAACACTTAGATCCATATGAAATAAACAAATCAATAGTAGCATTAAAATATTTACCTTTAAACATTCATTATTCATGATATTCTCCAAAAATAAGTAACCCAACAATACTTCTCCAATTGGTCACCTAGCTTTAACTCTGAATGACATGGTATCTGTACATTTTCATATTCTTTTGTAAAATAGATCTAAAGAACCTACAACTCCTAAGTATAACTAGATATTCAAACAGTATATATTTATAATAAATCCATTTTAGATAATTAAAATTTTAAAACAGATACTTGTTTGTGCATTATTTATAATTTGATTTAACGGCTCAATTAATTTAGAATAGGTCACTTATGTCATCGAAAGTGTTAAACAGGTATAGAAAATAACCTGAGAAACCAAACAAAAAAATGACAGAAATTAACAACAACAAAAAGTCATTATGCGGTTGGCTACATAAATCTTTTTTTCTCTATTATGTTATGTTAAGAGTCAAATTCTTATTTAAATTTAATAAAATTAGTTTTTTTCCAATATTTTCTAACCAAGTCTTTTTAGGTCTACCTCTATATTTATTCTTTCATAAAAAAAGCCAAATCTAACACATCTACTCTCCTAATCGGATCATTGGAAGACCAATATTTTGTGTCCAAACCATGTAAGACGACTCTCTAATCTTATTTGCTACAGGAGCTACTCCAACCTTTTCATGTATATACTCTTTCCGCATTTTATCTCTAAGAGTAAAGCCACTCATTCACCTGAGCATCCTCATCTCTGCAAAACTTAATTTTATGCTTCGCTTTTAATGGCCAACATTCTGCGCCATAAAGCATTTTAGGTTTCACCACCATCTTATATAATTTTCAATTAAGTTTAAGTGGTGCTTTTCTGTCACACAATAGGCACGATATTTTCCTCCACTTCAACCATCCAACTTGAATTCTAGTAATAATATCCCTATTTATTCACCATCACTTTGAACAAAAACACATACTCTTATTAATGACTTGATCACCCGAAGTTATAATCCTCTCACTAGATATATTACTACTAAAATTACACTCAATGTATTTGGTTTTAGATCTACTAAAACGAAAACATTTAGACTCTAAGGCTGACCTCCATAATTCAAGCTTTTCTTCAACTCCCTCTCTAGTCTTATCAACAAGAAGAATAACATCACAAAAAGCATACACCAAGGTACCTCCTCTGGCAAATGTCTAGTAAGATTATCCATACAACAACAGCAACATTAAGCCTTTATCCCACTATGTGGGGTCGGCTACATTAATCCTTTCTCTCCATTGTGTCCTAGTAAGATTATCCATGAATAAAGAAAATATATATGGGCTTAAAGTTGATCTTTGATGAAATCCACTAAAATAGGAAAATACCTGGTCAAACCACCTTGTGTTTGAATAGAAGCAACAACTCCTACATACATAACCTTAATGACTTGAATATAAGTATTATTAATTCTCTTCTTTCTAAAACTTTCTAGTGCACTTCTCTTGGAACTTTATCATATGTTTTATCTAAATCAATAATTATCATATGTAGATCTCCCTTATTCTCTCTATACTTCTCAATCAAACCTCTCAATAAATGTATAGCTTCCATAGTAGATCTACCCAGCATGAATCCAAATTGTTTTTGAGAAAAATTAGTATCACGTCGTAACATCTACTCAATAACTTTATCCCATAGTTTTAATGCATGACACATTAACTTAATTCCTCTATAATACACACATTCTTATGCATCACCTTTCTTCTTAAAAATAAGAATCAAACACACTTATCTCCAATCATCTGGCATCTTTTTAATCTTCAAATTAGTATTAAAAAAATTTCGTAAGCCAAAAAATTTATTCATTTCCTAAGCATTTCCACACATTTATTGGAATATCCTCATATCAAATAGCTTTTTCAAACTTCATTTTCTTTAAAACCTCTCTAAGTTCAATTTTAGTAATACAACGATAAAAACAAAAATCTCTATTTTTATTTATGATGCTAAAGTTGTTAAACTTAATCATATTCTCACAATCTTTATTTAAAAGCTTATTAAAATATCTCATCCGCCTTTACTGAATATCATCTTCTAATAAAAGTATTTTTTTATCTTCATCCTTAACGCACTTCATTTGACTAAATCATTACCTTTCCTATCTCTTTGCTTGGCTAATTTATACATATATATTTCGTCTTCTTTAGTATCTAATATATAATATAAATTATTAAAAGTTAAATTCTTTACATCGCATATTATTTTCTTAGACTCCTTACATGCCCCTTTATATATTTCCAAATTTTTCAAGTTGATGCATCAAAACCAATTTTTATAATATTTTTTTTTATTCTTGCACATTTTGATTCCACCACCAACTATTTTTACCATCATGAGCTCTTTTTTTATACTTCAGTCACATCATTCGCAATATTTTTAATATTACTGGCTAATTTTTTCCACATAATATTAACTTTCTCATACACATTTAAAATCTTAAGATTTTAAATCTTACTCCCAAAAATATTTATGTTAGTATTCTTTAAATGTTCTCATCTAATCCTAGGATAATAGTTTACTTTATTTTTCATATTCTACCCCTTCAATTTATAATCCAAAATTAATAAATGATATTTGGTAATAAATTTTCACTCGAAATAACTTTACAATCTTTGCAATCTAAACGATATATTTTTCTTATGACAAAATAATCAATCTTAATTTTGTTACATCCATTCTTATAAGTGATGAGATGCTCCTTTTTTCTTAGATAACGTATTAGCAATTATAAAATCATAAGCTGACAAAAAGATAATATGATCTTATCATCTTCATTAGTCACTCCAAAGACATAGTCTCCATGAATGCTTTTAAAATCTTCTACTAATCTACAACATGTTCACTTAAATCTCCTCTAAAAAAAACTCTTTCTTCAAGAGCTATCATTTGTATTAATTTTTCTAAGTCAATTCAAAATTTTAATTTTAAACACATATCCAAACTCGTTTGAGGACCATAAGCACTTATAATATTAATAACCTTAGAATCAACAGCAATCCTTAAAGCAATAATTTTATCTTCAATATATTAATTTCTAGAACATTATCCTTTAAACTCTTAACTATAATCACATAGACATCATTTTTAATACAACTCTTGCATGAAAATCATAATTTAAATCCTAAACTATTAATCTACTTAGTCTTCTCTCCAACTCATTTAATTTCCTAAATGCAAAAAATATTCATCTTCCTATGAATCGTAATATCTATTACATTATTAATTTTTCTATAAGAGACATATTCCAAGTTAATATTTTAATTCTAGCTTCATGTACTAACTTCTTTGCATGCATCCGTCCATGATGTGAGAACATTTGTTTATTTAACACTATAACAAGGCGTCAGTGCAGCAGCCCTTTCACACTTCTACTTGAATTCAGGTCATATAGCACATTGCTTATAAGAAATACACTAGCATTAATATAATGTATTAAATGATTTATATCAGAAATTAACCTAAGTTAAAAAGAACTCTCCTGTGCACAAGATAGATTTAACCAAAAGAACATGAGATCCACCATGTTAGCACCTAGGTTATCATGATAAACCAAGCAGAAAGAAGTTTAACTGCTATTTAATCACACTAATTACTAAAAAACAATTAGGTATCGACTTAGCCCAACCAAACAGAGCTGCCTCAAGAAACTTATGCAACTAGGCAACACCGTCGAAGTTGACCTAACGACAAGCCAAAACAGGACCAATGCAACAGGAAGAAAAACTATAATTGAGATGAACAGGATGCCGCAAAACCTTTCCCAACCCAATCAATCAAATAAGTTTCCAACTCAGGCTCAATATGCCAAGAGCGTTAGAAACGACTAATAGCAATTGAGTTTTAAAAATTAAACCCAAAAAAACCTTCAAATCACATATAATCCGACAATTTAAATGACAAAAAGATAAATGCACGTCCATATTCAGTTCGTGCAAATGAGATCTCCTGGTAACCTAGGCAATCGCAGTGTGCATCAAGCTCGAAAAAAAAAGATTACTAGAGAAACTTACAGATAATAAACTATAACAGCGCGCTAGCTTCGAATCTCGGCAAAATTAAGCAGGTAATTCGATAATCTCGAAGCATCTAAAGATATCGAGCGCCGCGAAGGAGAAGGCGATTCTCCTCCACCACTCCTCCCTTCCGAGTTCGAGAACGAGGGCAGCAAGTGCTGGAGAAAGTAATAAGGAAAAGGCGAGGCCGAATTGCAGGTGATAGGTGAATCAAAGAGCCGATCCAGCTAAAAGGGACCCGGAAACCACCCTTACTAGTTTTTCACGCGCAGCGCACGATATCTTGTATCCTTTTTGCTCAATAAATGATTGGATCACATAGATCTAAAGGTCCAGGAATGGTACATTTTACCTAGCAGGCAAATGATGCAATGTTTTGCGTGTGGTAGAGAATTTAATTATTATATATTATAAATAATAATTAAGGTTTTATTTGAGATAATTTTTTTATTGCTTCTTAAATATTAAATTTTTTATTAAAAATATCTTTAATAAACATTAAGAAAATCTTCTCAAATAAAATATGAAACTTTTGAATATATATAATTTTTAAAAGGAGAGTAAGGATAATTGAAATTATATATGTGGTGTGTGTGTGTGTGTGTGTTGAACAGCTCAGCATTGCTACTAACTTCAGCGTCGCAGTATACACTTTCATGACCCTTCGACTATTAATTCAGACATGGTAGTACCGGAAGCTTTAGAATTTCAGCACTGCAACGACACTAAGGTTAGCATCATGGTGCATCACAGGGTCGCGACGTCAAAAATCAGCACTGCATCACTTAAGTCATGGAGAAATCAACACCGAATTGACGGGCCTCTCAACATCTTGGCGCCGCATTTATTATTCAAGCACTACAGTGCTAAACTTCTAGAGCATCATGGTGGAGCAGTTGCCAAATTTAGGAGCTATGACAACTCAATCAAAAGATACGTCATTCCCATTATTAATCGTGTCATGTCAGCACAACGCAAGGGAGAAGGTATTACAGTGTGGAGGCGCTGGTTCATTTTATACCATAGCGGTACTTGAGTCCGATGTTGTACTTAATATAAATAGTATTTCAATTATTTTTTTAGTATGTTATATCATTTGAGCACAAAATTGCATTTCTTAGTGTGTTTCTTTAGTGCCCCATATAGTAAAGTCTAAGGGAGACTAGGAAAGCATAATAAGTACTAATATATACTCTTATGCCTTGCATGAATGTATAGATGTTTTTAATATCTCTCCTTCTTCCTTTAATGCTTATAATGGTCATATGTGTAGTTAATATCTAATGTGATGTATAGCCTCGGCGAAGGAAATTAAGATTGAATAATTAGGAATATTGAAATGGAATGTTGGCATCTCGATACATAAGATGTTTAACTTTCTAGGTTCTATGGAGATAGTAAAATTATAGTAATTGTAATTATTTTAGTTTATTTTAGTTTTATAACTAAACTCATCATTATGAACGATATATTCACATTGGGTGATGAAAATATCATGAAAATATCATCATGACTATTGTAGTCAAAATCAGGAAGGAACTACATATGATCCCGGATAGTCAAAATAATGTTTGATTAAATATTTTGCTACAATAATCTAGATATATTATTATTATTAATTTCATATTCAAAGATATGTTGATGAATGATATATCTCTCAGGGGAAATAACATACCACTTATTATCCATGGTTTGAATAAGACTATAATGATTCTTTTTTTTCTCAAAGAGAATAATTTATTTTTTACATTCTATTTAGTGTATGAATAGATAGTATGCATACCAATTCCTTAGCCGATTAAATGAAATGGCATGTTAGGCCTAGAAATTTCAATCAAGAGCATTTCATTCGTTTATTATCTATGATTTGCGACTGCAAATTAGTAAGCTTCTAACTTCTATATCAATTTACATGCATTCGAATGTAGATGTTGAATCATTCATTGTTCTATGCTTCATTGATCTAGCACCGAATGAAGTATTTTAAGTTGTTGGTTTCATTTCATCCATATAACTTAAAGGAATTTATTATTCATATGATTGTCATTACAATGTGATTTATGACTAATTAAAGAGGTTTACATATAATTGCATGCTCAATAATGAGTTTTGAGAAACTGTTATGTGCATATTTGTGCAATACAGATGTGTATAAAAGTTGCATACAAACAAAGCATAATTACACTTTCCTTATTTCTCACTTTCCAATTCTTATAATAGAAAATGGGATATCATATATTCTCCAAAAGTTTTTGTAAATTATGAATACTCAATGACATGAATATTTGATTAATAAAAAAATAAATGTTTTGTATACTGAGTAAAAAAAATCATTCATGAATTCCTATGACTGTCAAACAAAATTGTGATATTGAACGAAGTATATGTAATATTTGCATACATTCTTTAACTCTAAATATTGTATATATATATATATATATATATATAGAGAGAGAGAGAGAGAGAGAGAGAGAGAGATTGTAACTATGCCACACAACTCTACTAATTTTGTATTCAATCATAAGCATACATATATTTAATCCAAAGCCACATGGTTTATGTTGAAAAACTTCTCAAGTTTTGAAAGAGAATGAAGTTATTTTGATTCTTCTTTCTCTTAATTACAATGAACAAACTTCATCTATTTTGTGTTCTATTTTTCTTAAAACAATATGTGAACTCATACGCAAAATACTTTATGATTGATTTGAAAAGGCTCTCATATATACTTGTGTTTTGATCATGCAATGAATGGTGCTTACAGACAAGCATTCCTATATAACTTCACAATTATATTATTGATAATTGATTGGAGAAATTTATAAGTGAGTGCACGTTTAAAATTATTTCATTGATAAGTGTATGTATGAGTGCATGTTTAGAATTATTTCATCAATCGGCATTGAGAAGTTGTGTTGGTGCTCCAATTGATACACATATTCCAAATTTCAATAATGCATGAAGACTTCACGTGAATAAATTAAGGGCAATCTTTTTGCATCTTATTAATTGCATAAAATTGTTGGAAATATTACTATAAACCATAATATTATGAGTACATCGCTAGCTTAAGTGGAAACATACACACATATTCTATTCGCTTCAAATGTCATATTCACATGTTCTATAGGAAAGATTGATATCCATATTGACACTCATACTTCTTTCTCTTTCATTTTCTACCTCTTCCTCCCCTCTCCCTCCATTTATTTCTCTCTTCCTTACATCTTCTTCCATTTCCTTCTTCATTCTCCTTTCTTTTCATATGATTGAAAAGAATTAAATATATATTTGTTGTTTTAAATTAATTTTTTTTACTTAGTTGCTTTTCTTTTGAGTACTATATACTCTTATTATTTCTTTCTTTATTTGCTTTCTTTGTGAGATGCTTATATCTTGCATGTGTCGTTTGTTGACGGATTGTGTTTCCCCGAGCCTCATGGAGAGGCCTCTTCATTGTATCGGGGGTATACGAACATGTTTTTACTCGCTCTTGATTAAGTATATTTTCTATAATTTGTAAAGACTTCTCTTTTGATGTGACGAGTTGGTTACACTAACACACACACACATAAGATTGCTATTTTATTTTCCCACACAATTATTCATGATATAATGTGTTAGACATTTGGTGCACTTATGAAGCTTTAGCCTAATTGGCTAAGGCTTGCCTCCTTTTTGAATCCTAGAGAGCTTCATGGTCACCTAGGCTTGTACTATAAGTCATTTACTTATGTCATATGCATCGTCATGTTTTCGCACAAAGTGGGTCTCGTTAGGATTTTTTTGTTTTAAATGCTTAAGTAACTATTAAAATTATCTCTTAATGATTTTTGGGCCTTTAATTCATATTTCCTCGAACAAAATTAAGAATGTAAAAGGCAGAAAGTAAAAATCTTAGCTTTAACATGTTAGGTTGATATGTGTTTAGGTTTTATATTGTATGCCTTCTTATAAATGATAAATTTAGTTTTGTTATTTGAACTTAGTGTAGAACCTATATTTGAAGTAATTCATTTACTGCAAACATAATAAAGAAAACTATTAAAAGCTAAATTAACTAAATTAATTGATGGAACATAATTAATGAACTCATAATCAATCATAAAATTGGTAATGATTCAATTAAAATAATAACCGCAAATCAAAACCCATTAAATAACAAGCAAAAGTAATTAAACAACAAGATAATTGTTGGATGACCTAGGCCTTCGAGACTATTATGTTAGCCCCAAAGAGAGTGAAATAAATCTCACAATCCTGGTGTAAACAAAGACAGTTATCACTCAACATAAATAACTAATAATAAATCATGAACAAATTAATTAATCAAGCTAAGTTAATCATGCAAACTTTATAATTAAATTAAGAAACCATTAACAAATTTTATCAAAAAAATTAATAAGTTGAACTATCTCAAGTTACAGAGCTACATATCTCAAGAAGGTCTTGGTCCTCGTGCACACTATGATAACACAATGAATTGATTCACGAAAAATTTCATTAAAAATGCAAAAAAGATTTAAAATTTTTAAATAAATTTCTATAAATCTATAAAACCATCATGAACTGTAAACTTAATGAGCATTTTGATTAATTTTGTTTTTCAACTCCAAATTAATTAAACCTCAAAACTAAACAAAAACTTTAAAAAATTATAAAATATCAAATAAAAATATGAAATAAATTCCTATAAATTCCTAATATAATCATAAATAAAAGCCTATATTAATTAGAATGAAATCAAAATAAAAAATCCTCTCAGAAGCTCTTCAGCACTGAAGTAAAACACTAAAACACTAAAAATTGAACTCAAATTAAATGTCCATTGACTCTAAACAAACAAAATGAAGATGATGGAGAAGCAAATAAACTTTAAGTCATGCCTTAATGCTTTAACCTATGTTGGATTTGTGTCTATCTTTGTACTCTCTTCTTTAATATATGTGTGGTATATAGGCTGAACTATCTTGAGCTGCGAGACTACATGTCCTAAGGAGGTCGTGATTCTCGTGTCTGTTGTAATAATACCACGTACCTCACAAGTTAAGGAGAACAGTCTAAAAATCTATATCAATTGCCCCCTTTAGAAATCTAAAGCTCTCCTAAGGAGTTTGGTTCAATTTCTTGATCACTCAAGTGTTAAATCCTAAGTTAGGTAGAACCTTCGTATATCTTTAGGTGGTAAATTTTCCATTCATATGTCAGCCTTTAAAATTTATCAACTTTAGACATAAGAAGCCGATGATTTTTTTTGTGACGAGAAATATGCCCACTTTAGTACATTACCTATTGCCCTTACCTTGAGGCTTAAAAAACAAAGGGGGGCTAACTACTCTTGACATTAGTTAAGTATAAGATTAAGGATGAGTCATTTGCCATCAATTATGTATAACTTTAGCATAGGATAGGGTGTAGTTAGGATATCATTTTTCATTTTGCACTTTGCATTTGTTATGATGTGATGTATTTCTGGCTTAGATTGTTTATTTATTTATTTTGTGGATTGATGAGTGGACGTTTGCCCTTAAATGATTAGAATTTTTATCTTATATAGGTGCCCATGACTGAAGGGGCAAATTAAAATGCTGTAATTATTATCATAAATGCGCTCTTTAGCAAGTACCACGAGGATTGCTAAGCATTTGAAATGTGGTGTTAATGACTAGTTCTAAATATATACATATAATTATTTTATTATAATTGTGCTAATATCTAATTTTTGGGGAGTCTTTATAATTTTTCTTTTATATATGTAATTTTAGTTAAGAAAGTTATGTGGGTGCGTGAGTATTTCAGAAGTTAGGAGGTCAAACACATGAAGATTGATCATAATCTCATACACCATTTATTTGTTGTATAATTTTAGGACTAAGTTGTAGTTATGATAGAACTCAACTATCTCTTTTTTCTTTTACTAGGGTGTGTTGCATAACCTAGTTATATTTCTGACATTTCATTATTATTTTACTTTGTGATGATTGAAATGTTTATATTGATTGTGCACTAGAACTGCTTATTTTTTTTAGTTTTTTTTTTTTTTTGGTTTTTCTTGAAGGTGGCTAGACGGAGTTCATGTTAGGCTTTTATGATGTTAATTTTTTATAAATATAAAATTTTCTTAATCAAGATAAAATATATACATGACTTAAAATTAACCAACTTTTTTTAAATTAATGCATGACCACTCTCATGTCAATTTTTAAAATATCATTAATATTTCAAACTTAGTCGACTAGTCCTAATTATCTCTATCCTTCATTTATAGCCTGAGTCAATCATATATATTTTGTTTTCATCACATAGAGGAATAGTTCACCATTTCATTAGCATAATATCATTCATAGTCGGGCTTGAGGCATATTCATCTTTTATACCTCCCACCACTCTTCCACTTGTATAAAACCAGATTGCATGAATTTGAGATACTCATTAGAGTTTTAACTATTACTCTTTTTTGAGTATGGCGATAAATTTAGATCAGAGCTACTTAGATCTTTAGCGGGGTTTAAATTATAAGTTCCATCATTGTCTTGCATTAGCTAGGTCGAGGACGTTAGTACTAAGATTACAATACGCTTTCTGTAGATATAAGATCAAAGACTGGTGGTTTGAGTATATATATGCCTTACTGTTGGGTAAGCTATACATTTTTTGGAGGCTATAAATATCACATATTTATGCCACACTATGATGTCCCTTCCATTTATCTCCCGCATGCTCTATGTATGATATTTTCTCTCTTGATTTCTCCTTATACCGCCCGGGTAATTGTATGGAACTTGAGTGTATTGAATAGCCCATCAAGTCTGTTTTCTTTAGATTAGAAGAATCTAAGAACCCCACTATGCATCAAATTAATATGAGAATAAAATAACATTATTAATTGAGCGTATTCTTAGGCCAATACTTAAAGTGTAATTAATCACAAGGGACTTGCACCCGTGGGAAATCGATACCCACACCAAATAAATCCAATTTGAGCTGATGTATTGAATGGAGAAAATATAGTGATTATCGAATTATACATATTATTATCAATCGAGTTGTTCAACTGAAAGTCGCTATTTTTTATGGATAATCATATGTATACTTCCATCTGCTCTTTCATTGATCTGTTTTGAGTTGAGTGGAAAGATCTACAACCGTTTTGTCATATGGGGCCGTGCAATTGTGCTATTAGCATTCTAACCCCGCCATCAATATTCTTTAGAGACCCACACAACATAAACAAATTTTTAACAACTAATTTTAAACAATTAAAAAGTAGAAAATAAAATTATCATAAGATAAAAAAAAGCAAAGCAATCATAATTAATCAAAGCAACCTGTTCCCACATTTCCGCAGGAAAACGTAGAACTTTACCGTGCCTTCACTCCACAGTCCACACAACAGACCAAATGAGCGAATCGAATGTCGATCGAGTTGACATAAAATTTCAATATAAAGTTCCGCCGGTGCATCGGATCATATTCCATAGTTTAATATATCTCTCCCATCCGGGAGAGCCGGTAAGCGCGAGGGAAGGTAGGAAAACTGTATTTTTTTTTTAATTTTTTTGGGGGAATTTGGGGCGGAGCCCAGGAAAACTGTGGAGGACGACAGTATTAGTCGGCGGCGGCGGAGCGACGCAAAAGCGAGCAGAAATACCCTATAGACTAGTTGCTTCCGATCTCGATTGCGATCCCATGGAGGATGAAGCGCAAAGCGAGAGCAGCAATTACACTTCAGAGGACGAAGGAACCGAGGATTACCGGCGAGGAGGGTACCATGCCGTCAGGGTCGGCGACACCTTTAAGCAGGGAACCTACGTCGTGCAGTCCAAGCTCGGATGGGGCCACTTCTCCACTGTTTGGCTCGCATGGGACACCGTTCACTCTGTAAGATACGCGAAACCCTAATCCCGCCATTTTTTCGCAGTGATTTTACGTCTGCTCGATGAGAGAAGAAACCCTATTGGCCAATTAGAATGATAGCTTGGTTGCAGTGGAGCTTGATTTGATGCCAAAAAGCCACTCGTTGATGGAACTTGTTTTTTGCAGATATATGTGGCTTTGAAGGTGCAGAAGAGCGCACAGCACTACACTGAGGCAGCCATGGATGAGATCAAAATCCTGAAGCAGATTGCAGATGGAGACCCGAATGATACCCAGTGTGTTGTGAAGCTTCTAGACCATTTCAAGCATTCAGGGCCCAACGGGCACCATGTTTGTATGGTTTTTGAGTTTTTAGGAGACAATCTCCTGACACTCATTAAGTATGCAGATTACCGTGGTATACCTCTGTCTATGGTGAAAGAGATATGTAAATACGTACTCACGGGATTGAATTATTTACATGAGAATCTATCAATTATACATACTGATCTCAAGCCGGAGAATATCCTTCTTCTATCCACCATTGACCCAGGAAAGGACCCACGGAAATCAAATGCTACTCCTTGCATCCCTACCATAAAAAAACCGGAGTCGCCACTCAAGACACCTGCTGCATCCAATGGTGATCTGACTCGAAGTCAGAAGAAAAAGATCCGACGTAAAGCAAAGCGTGCCGCTGCAGCAACAGTTGATTGTGAGGATGTTGCTATATCAGCTTCTGATGGGACTCAGGACAAGGAAAGTCCATCCTTGAAGACTGATGGTGATTGCGCATCAGGTAATCTGGTAGGACAGGCACATAGAAGAGGAAGTCGAGGGACCAGGAAAAAGATGGCAATGGAGGTGGACCTAAGGTGCAAGTTGGTAGACTTTGGGAATGCTTGTTGGACGTATAAGCAGTTCACTAGTGATATCCAGACAAGGCAGTATAGGTGCCCTGAGGTGCTCCTAGGGTCCAAGTACTCTACATCTGCAGACATGTGGTCATTTGCCTGCATCTGCTTTGAGCTTGCGACTGGAGATGTGCTGTTTGATCCACACAGCGGGGAGAACTATGGTCGTGATGAGGTAAAAAAATTATCTTTTCGCTATTACGTACACTCGTTATATTATGCTATTTGTATTTGTTTTCATTGTATTTGGATATTGCACATTGATTTCTTTGTGCTAGCCTAATTAGTTTTTAGTTTGGACTCTATTCTTAAGCATTTCTTACAAACATAACTTGGCTAGCCTAATTAGATTGCAGATGGAGACTCTATTCTTAAGTAACTTAGTGATATTCTCACTCATTAACTGGAGTTAATGTTGAAGGATTAGGGTGAAAAATGAGTAAACCAAATGTAACATTGCTAGAAGTTGCGTGTAAAAGATAGAATTAAATCTTGCATAGCTCTTAATTGGAATGAATGAAGGAGGTGAACCGATAAAGATGAAACCCAAATTGTTTGGATAAGGTTAATGGTGATGATGAATATCTGCCTGGTGGAAGAGAGGAGGTTATGTCATCAATTATATGGTGAGAGCTATTTAACTCATTTCCCATTCATTGTAAGAGTCACCAGTGTTATTCTCTTTACTTAAATCCTTCACTAAATTATATTGATGCTGATTTTTTTCCTACTTTTTAAATAAAATATTAGGATGAAAAGCTCTACAACCATGAAAAAAAAATGAAAATTTGATGCAGTTTCTCCTACACCATTGAATTGTGTTTTCTAATGCCTTTACCTATTTTAGTGCTCCTCGATGACTATTTTCTTGGGGTTATGTTCTAGCATACATGGCAACATGTAGGCTCCAATTTGCGACATGAGCTTCACTATGAGGAGAGTATTCAGAAACATTATACTGGATTAGCTTATTGGCATATGCTTGTGGTTTTTCATCTATGAATCGGTTGTTTCCATGACATGTGTTACTTGATACTTTATTTGGTGGAATTATTTAAACTTACCCATAATTTCAAGAAAAAAAATGAGATGTGACATTACAATTGCATTACATGGCTTAGAACATTTAACAAAGCCATGCCTATGGCTTTGAAAGGATGGGACTAAGACGTGGTCATTATGATGCATATATTATTTCATAAATATATCAAAACAAGTAGAAAAAAAACCCTCCTTGAATGCTTGTTTACTTTCTGAGTTTTGCAACTTAGTATATTGCTTAGCTTTCTCCTATTCTACTGATATTGTTTATTTAATTATCCTTGCTAGGGAAACTTATTAGTAAAGCATTTTGCGTTAGTATGCAGGATTAGGGATTGGAAAGGACTAAAATATTTCTAGAAAGTGCTGTTTGGAAGCTTATTTTCTTTGTTATTAATTATCATTGCTATGATATTGATGCTTCCATCATGGGCTAGATCCAAAATATTCACGAGAATCTTGCTTCAATTAACAAGCCTCCAACATTTTGCATGTCCAAAAAGTTGGTTGAAATGTTGTCATTCTCTATGCCTTTAAGGATAGGAAGTTAATTTCTAGATGCACTTATAGTTTTAATGGCCTTTTAAATAAAATATTTGTTGAAACCTATCCATTCATCATTTTCATTGATATCCCAACATATATTGTATTAGGTTAGTGATGTGAAACGTAAATGCCATTTACTTGCCTAGGTGGCAAGATTAATTAAATCCCAAATCAATTTGGGGAGAGAGAATGAAAATCTGAAATTAAATTTCAGATTAAGTGGAATTGTCGGGATGAATTTGAATTTAAATTCAAATTTAATGGGGAGAATTAAATTGGATGAGAGGGAATTGTGGGAGGTAATTAGGGAGGCTTAATGAGGGGGCTATTAATGAGATAGGAGAGAGATTATGCCCAATGAGGGGCCGGCCACATAGAGAGAGGGAGGAGATTATTTTTTCATAAGTAGAGTGGGGCCCACATTACTAATCAAAGATTTAATAAAATCTGAATTAAAATTCAGATTTTGAAAGAAAGGAAAGTTTCCAATAATGGGGCTATCAATTAGAATTAATTTGAATTTCAAATTCAAATTGACATGCAATTAATATGAAAACCTTAAATCAAAGAACTATTTTAGGAAAATCTTCAATGCCTCTTGGAAACAAATTTGAATTTCAAATTTGAAATTCACAAGAGGGAGGCCGGTGGCTTGGCCGTCCTAAGGAGGCTAGCGGAGCCGCCGGTGGCGGGATTGGCCTGGGGTGGCTGGCGGTGGTGGGGGCCGGTGGAGGGGATTTAAGAGGAAGAGAGTTTGGTTAGGTAG